GTGGGCTCTGCCCCCAACGCTGGGTGATTTTTCCTCGGGGCTGTTGGTGGAGATGTGGAGCAGGTTGATAAAAATCAGTCAAAATGTTTTTTTGGCCTTTTTCCCCCCCCCGTTTAAGGCTCCTTGGCTGGGGGTTGTGTGGTCGCCCCTCTCTGCCCCCTCCTGATAAAACCACGTGTGGTTTTAGTTCATCTCTACCCAAAGTTTGGCCGGTTTTGGGTGTGCCTGTCGCTATCAGGCGCTGGCAGAGATCCAAGAACATCGTTTGGGTTTAAAGTCGACTCTTTCAGGTCACTTCTGGTGGTGAAAGATGAGTGGTGGTCACAGGCAGGACCAAAACACCTTCCCAAAATTCAGGGGTTTTCTTTTCTACCTTTTTTCTACCTCAGAGCCGCCCGTCGCTCACGGGGTGGATTTCCCTCTGTGTTGTGTCAGAGCTGCTCTTTTTCTCCTTTTTAAGCTCATTTTGAGCAGAATAAATTCATCAGGAACTGATCAGTAAGAGTTGAGGAGCAGGCTTTGGAAAATGGCTTCACCCTTGTTTAAATGGCTTGAACACAGTTGTCTCAGAAATGCTGTCAAGCTCCAGCTGAAGGCTCCCAAATTTTAAAGCCCTGTGGGTGGATTTCCACGGCTATGAGGAGGAAAAGTTTTTGTCTCCTGGGCAAGGAGCTGGTTGGGTTGAAATAATCCTCGAGAGGAGGGAGTGCTGAGGAAATCCACCTAGGCCTGGTTACAGCTGGAGACGTTCCCCACGAGGGGGTTGAAGACCCTGAAAACTCGGGTGAAAGTTTCTCTGCCAGGGCTGAGTTTGAGGCTGTGCTAATTAAACACCTCGCTGGGGGGTGATCCCCTCGGAGTGCTGCACAGGAGTGGGGTTATTTTGGGGTCTGGCATCTCCTGCCTCCTACCTCAACGTGGAGGGGATGGGAGGAAGGCTCCGGATTCATCATCCCTCTCCTCTCCCCCCCGTTTTTCCCCTCATCAGGCACGGACAATAGGCTGCACCCGGCTGTCTCCTCAGCTGCCTTTGTTCTCAGGCTGTTTGTCTTGGGCTTGAGATGATCCAACACCTCCGTAGCTCCACGGTTCTGGTGCTTCTTTGGGCCACGTCCTGAAGGGAGGTGGCCCTTTGCCTTCAGCTCCCACCATTTTGGTTAAAAGAGGGAGTTCTGCAGGAGCTGGGAGTGCTGGGGGGAAGCTGGGAGTCTGTATTTTTCATTTCTCAGTTACCAGAGAAGCATGGGAGACTTTTTTTTTTTGCAGCTGGATCCTCTTTCTGGTAGAAGTTGGGCACTAACCCTTGAAATTTGGCAGTGGTTTGGTAAAATACTGGCAGGAACTTGGTCCCTGCTTTCCTGTGGTGCTTGCCACGCTCTCACCTCAGCAAAAGATGGAATTCTGCTTTTTTGTTAGATATTAGGTTGAGTTTTGTGCTAAAGGTTTAATTAATGTGGTCCCTTCCTGGTGAGAAGGGGGGAAATCAAAGCAGCAAACGCTGGAAGAGCTTCCAAAAGTCCAAACTGGCACGTGTGGTAAAAGTTGCCCTAAAATGCTGCTGGAGCCAATCTGCTTTTCATTGGCTGCTGGGTGAGTCGGGGGCTGCTCCTGTGGGGGGGGGTCCCTACTCTCCAAACCCACCATTTCCCCACCTTTTGGCTGAATTCCATTCTTAGATTTTTTTACCCAACTGTGCTGAAGGAACTTTTCCTCCCCAGGTGGAACACGTGGGTCCAGCTGGAGGTTGTGGTGGCTCCTGTGAGCCACGCAGGGTTGGGGGTTTTCAGGGGCTGGGTTTCACAGCGGATCACAGGGTGTTTAGAGAAAAGGGTTGCCCAAACTGGCGTGTTTCTACCTTAATCCCAGCGAGCTGCTGGAGCTCTTGGCATCTTCCAGAGCCCTTCCCGGCGGCGTTCGCTCAATTCCTTCTCCTTCCCTTCCAGGAAACACGCCTTGAACTGCCACAGGATGAAACCTGCTCTTTTCAGCGTGCTCTGCGAGATCAAGGAGAAGACAGGTGTGTTGGCAGCTCTTTTTGGCCTCAGCTTTCCCAAAATCCCACATTTTTGTCATCAGCTCGGCGCTCGTTACACGCGGCCCCTGGTTTTCCCCTCGGATTCTACGAGTTGAGGCTGTTTTTGTTGGGTTTGGGGTTTTTCTGTCGGCTGGAAGTGGCTTTGAGGGGATTTGTCTGTTGGGGGAAAATGCTGCTTTTATATTTTTGAGTAGAAAAATATTGAACAAGTGTTTTGGTGGTGGGTCTGTGAAGGATTTATAGGTTGAGGGGCTTTGATGTCTGGCTGGATACCTGGAGAATCCCGAGGGGTTGTTCTGCTCTGTTTTCCTTTAAGGAATTGGTACCAAAATTGTGGTGGTCATAAGAGGGGAAAGGTGACAAATAACAATATTTTGGAGAAAAAGAGGGATTGGGGCTGCTGGAAATGCAGGAAATGGAGCTGGTGAGCTTGGAGCTTTCTCAGAAGCATGGTGGGGGGGGAATGGATTTTGAGTTTGAATCACCCAGTTTATGCTTGTGTATGTCACTTAATGTATGAATAACCAATTTCTAGAAACTACAGTGAATTTTGATGGGTTTTTAGGCTATTTTCATTCCATGTAACTAAAAATAGCATTTGGGGTTTTGTTAATTTACCTCTGTATTAACATTGAACATCCTAAACCAACATTTCTGTTATTTTTTCTAAAACTCACAGTGCTTGCCACCAAAGGAGGTACTGCCCAGTCCCCTCCTCGGCGGTGCCCCTGTTGCGGAGGCGTGAGGGGGTCATTTCTGGACAGTTTGGGGTCATTTCTGAACATTTTGGGGTCATTTCTGGACAGTTTGAGGTAACTCCTCACCTTCTACACCCCAGCAGCTCGCTCCTGAAGCGACACGTTACCGTGGCTGTGTGGGCTGGGGGTGATTTTTCTGCCTGTTTGTCCTCCCGGGCATCGCCGTCCTTAAGGGAGGGCCTTTCATCCGTTTCTCCTTCCCTCACCAAAAGCCTCTAGAATTCTGCCTTTTATTGATTGAATCTGTGACTTCTCAGAGCTCAATGCCGCTCCCAGGAGCAGCCCCTGGTGCTGCTGGATTTGTTTTGGTCTCGGAGGTTTCTGAATGTCTGATGCTCTGTCTATGCCTTATTTAAATCACGGGGAGCAGCTGTTCCGGCTCCGAGCGAACAAAAGCCCGGACGGACCGGACGGAGCTCGAGGTTTGGGGCTTTTCTTTGTGACCTGGGGCTCAGCAGCTTCGTTTTGAGCTCAGAAATCAGTTTCCAACACGTTCCACCCCCCCCTCCAATCCCCATTTTTTCCTTCTCTCTTTGTTGGAGCGCTCGGAGCGTTCACAATAGCTCGGGATAAGCCGCGCGCGGCGGCGGCGGTGAGGGGCTGAGAAATTCCCCCCAATAATGTTCATTAATTAAAACTACAAATGAGTCTTTGTAATGTAAACAGATCTGGCCACGTTCCGTGCTTTGTTCAGACCCTGTTCCCCTCCTGTTCCAACCTAAATTAGGTTAATTATTTTAGATTTCAAACCAGGTATGGGTAAATCGGGTGTTTGATTTTCAGGTCTTAAATACCTGTCAGCTTCTGAGCACAGAAGCTCCTCAGATTGCTGGGTTTGAGCCCCAAAGCTCCCCAAATTGCTGGTTTTGAGCCCCAAAGCTCCCTAAATTGGCATTTTTTGAGCCCAGAAGCTCCCCAGATTGCTCGTTTTGAGCCCCAAGGCTTCCTAAATTGATGTTTCTGAGCCCAGAAGCTCCCCAGATGGCTGGGGTTTGAGCCCCAAGGCTCCTGAAATTGATGTTAGTGAACCCAGAAGCTCCCCAGATTGTTGGATTTGAGCCCCAAGGCTCCCTGAATTGGTGCTTTTGAGCCCAGAAGCTCCCCAAATTCCTGTTTTTGAGCCCCAAGGCTCCTGAAATCAGTGTTTCTGAGCCTAGAAGCTCCCCAGATTGCTGTTTTTGAGCCCCAAGGCTCCTGAAATCAGCGTTTCTGAGCCCAAAAGCTCCCCAGATTGCTGTTTTTGATCCCCAGAGCTCCTAAATCAGCGTTTCTGAGCCCAGAAGCTCCCCAGATTGCTGTCTGGAGCACAGGGAGCTCTTGGAAGAGGCACCTTAATGCGATCAATCCCACTAAAAGTTTTTTCAGGAACTCACAGCAGCTTTTGGAGCCCTGGATGGTGGTCAGCAGAAGGAGGTTGGCGCTGGTCAGGCGACGTTTCTGGTGTGATTCCAGCTGCAGGGGTTCAAACACGACGTAGATTCTGTCTTAAAACCAGAATTAAGCATCTGCAGGGTTCAGGATGTTGTTTCTCATCATTAAGGTGCAGCCCTCTGTCCTCCCTGAGCTTTGGGAAGAGGTTCAGAAGGGGTTTGTGGTTGCTCTAGGGGCCCCTGGGTGTAGGTGTGGTGCTGAGGGACCTGGGGGGGGACTTGGCAGTGCTGGGGTAACAGTTGGACTCAAGGAGCTTCAAGTTCTCCTCCAACCCAAAGGATTTTATGCTCTAAAAACAGTCTTCTGCCTCCTCCCCCTAGCAGGGTGGTTTGTGGATGCCCAAATTGAGGCATTTTATACCCCAAACAGCGTGGGCTGCTCATTTTTGGCCCTAAGGTGGCAGATTTGGGGTCTAAATTTGTCTCTTCTGTACCTGATCGAGGCGTTTCTGGCGCTGCTCTTGCTCTGTCCTGGGTTTTTTGTGCTCTGAGAGGGGAAATCTGGAGAGGGAAACAAGCCCCAGCAAAGTCCTTCTCACTGATTTTGGTACCAGTGATCTCGTGCCGTTCATTACCGAGCGGCGAAATGTTTAATTAATGAGATGTAAATGTATTGTAATGAGCTTATCTGCATACCGAGTGAGGCTTCAGCACCTTAGGTTGTGATGTATTTTAATTAAAGATTAATTAGAAATGATGGGAATTTCATTTGGCTTAGGATAATTATTTTACATATTTGATGACTCTCTGATAGGTGACGTGCCAGAGAAGTCTCTGTTATAGAATATTGCAATTAAAGGGATATATAATTAGATACACAGCTTAGGGGAGTATCTCCTTAGGCTTTCTGAACCATTTTGGGGTTTTTCTTTAAAAATGGTGGATTCTGGAGGATTTAAGTGTGAAGGATTTTACTGTTGTTATCTGAATTGTGCCTAAAACACAGACTGGGCCATAACTGTAACTCCAGGACTCCAGGCCTGGAGTATTCATGGAGTTATTTTGTGGTTTTAAATTGCTGTGGGAAGTTGAGACATTTGATGGCCAAATGGGTACAGAGAGGAGCTCTCCCCTCCTGGACCCTCCCCTGGGGGGTCCAGCCTGGAGCAAAGGAGGCTCAGGGGAGACCTTCTGGCTCTGCCAACTCCCTGCCAGGAGCTTGGAGCCAGCTGGGAGAGGGGAGATCTCTTGTCCCCAAGCCATGGGAGGAGAGGAACCGGCCTCAAGTTGCCCCAGGGGAGGTTGAGGTTGCCCCTGAGGAACCATTTCTGCCCCTGGAGGGTTGCCCAGGGCTGTGCCAGGGCAGTGGTGGAGCCCCCACCCCTGGAGGGGTTCCCAAGCTGTGGAGATGTGGGGTGAGGGACAGGGTTGGGGGGACACTTGGATGTGATGATCTCAGAGATCTCTTCCACCCCAAACAGTTCCATGATTCTGTGCAACCAAGTCAGGAGTTCAGTGGCCAGGTGACAGTGAACCTGATGGAACTTGTGATCTGCACAGATGGAGGTGAAGACACCAGGAGTAAAAATCAACTCCTAGCAAGAGGCCCCAGTTCCAGGGGATCATGGCTTGGATCTAACCCCTGGCAGAGGTTTCTCCAGAACCTGTGGTTGAGCTGTGACACACCGAGATGAACTTACACCCAAACTCATCAGACCCTCCCACCACCCAGCACCTCCCCTCCCACCTGGGGAAGGTGCTTTGTACACGCTCTTCAGCAGTCAACTTGAGAGGAGCTTATGTGTAATTGATGATAACTAATGCCTAATTACCATAATTAGACAAGTGACATAAAATTAAGCTGCAGCTGGGAGCTTGACTTCAGCACGAGGTGCTGCTCTGATGTGCATCATGATGTGCTGCATCCAAAGGCTTTTGGCAGGAGCACGTTCAAGGGAGGTGCCCCCAAAATACCTTTGCTGTGGAATTTACAGGTGCCAGGCCCAAGAAGTTGAAGGAGAATTTCATCAAAAAGACTAAAAGCAAATGGCTGTTGGTGGGAGAAAAGAACTGGTGATTTTTAACATGAAAAAAAACTACTGAATAAAAAAAAAACCACTTTTTTCCCTGTGTTGTGTGAAAGATTCAAGAAATGAACCCAACAGACACCTGGGTTTGTTGGGAAGGCTGAAGGAAGGTGGTTTCTGGTGTGTTTTTTCTTGTTGTTTCAGATTTTGGATAGATTTTAGTGCATTACAGAATTTCAGCCCTCTTAGGGTGCACAGGCTGCTAGTTTTGTGAAAAGAGACTATTTTTAATCCCATAATGAGCTGGAAAAGCCACTGGCTTTTAAAACAGCTGACATCTCCCCTGTGTTAGCTTGAGTTCAGCACTTACCCCCTGACTGCATCATGATTATTTTTGTTGTACCTTATCTCCCTTGCCAAAGGCACCAGGGATGTTCTGGAGAGAATTCAGGTCCTGCAGATGCTCCAGATCTTGTGTCTCTTCAGAGTTCTGCAGAATTCTCATACGCCCTGGAAAACATGAAATTCAGAGATGTGACTGAGCTTGGGCTGCTTGTGTACTCAGAGTTCTTATTGATTAGTTTACATGAGCTATTTTTTTATCTACAAGATGCTGAAATTTATTATAAAATTATATGTTTCATGTCTTTGCACACACATTGTCCTGCCCTCACGTTAGAATCTGCCTGAGGAGATGTTTTGTGCACATTTTTAGTGGGGAAGCATCAGATCCCCTTAACCCACCCATTTGGAAATAGAGTTTTGTAGCTTCACCAGGTGAACTGTTGGTTCTCCTTCCAGCTCTTCATCTAAAACTGTCCACTGCCCACCAACTAAAATTGCCTGCTGGATAAAATCAGATTAAACACCCGAAAGCTGTTGGCATTTTTGGTCCTGACTCAGCGTCTCGTGAGCTCTCGTGCTTCTTAAAAAGGAAAGTTCAGAATAAATTGTCAATGAATTTGGGAAATGAAGTTTTTAAGATAAATTGGCTTGGACTCACTTGAATAATCAGAGTGCAGGTGGCTGCAGCCTGGGTTTGTTGACTGGAAGCCTAAGAAACCAGCTTCTAGTGCCTATTTTTTTCATGCTGTTTCAGATTTTGGTCCATTTTTAACAGATTTGAGTAGATTTTTAGAACTCAGCACTGTGAAGACTCCAGTTTGTCACCTGCTGTTGGGAAGCACAGCTGGATTTTTGGTGTGTAAAGCAGATGAGGTCGACCTTCCTAAATACTTCCTAAAATACTTCCTAAATACTTCCTAAAATACTTCCTCAATGTCTGACCTGGTGTGAGCCCAAGTCGTTGTGTTATCTGAGAGCATCTCAGGTTGGGAGGACCCACAGGGGGTCGTGGAGTCTGTTATCTGTGTTGGAAAACTCACCTGGTGTCCTGGTGTTCCTCCATCCAACAATGTCCTGATCTGTTGCCTTGTGCCTTCCTTAACCCCTCCTTATTTTCTGTGTTTCATTCTTCCCCTCCAGCCCTGCCAAACCCCTCTTGAAAGGTGTTTAAATTTGCCAGGATTGAAGCAGAGGCTCTTCCCCCGTTTCGGAACTAATCTTCTGATTCCCTCTTTATGTTTATCCAGTGTTAAGTATTCGTGGTATTCAGGAAGAAGACCCCCCAGATGCTCAGCTAATGAGACTAGATAACATGTTGCTGGCAGAGGGTGTCTCCGGGCCAGAGAAAAGAGGAAGAGGAGGACCGATGGCTGTAGCAGCAACATCAGGTGGCTGTCCAAATGACAATAGCATTGAACACTCTGACTACAGGGCCAAGCTGTCACAGATCCGACAGATTTACCACTCTGAGCTAGAGAAATATGAACAGGTGATCTTTCTGCATGGAAGAGTTTTTATCATCTCAATGACAAATAACCCTTTTTTCCCCTTTGGTGGTGGTTTTAAGAACAGGGCCAGGAGGTTCAGTGGCTTCAGGATATGGAACCGAGCCGAGGGTTTGCCTCGGGGTCGCAGAAGTAGGGTGAAGATGGAGGGACTTGGACCTCAAAATAAAGAGAATAAATGTCTTGTGTATCTTTGTTGCTGTTTAAGAGTCATTAGAGTGAAGCTGGAACGTGGAAAACTCCTCAAAAAGCTTTTTCTGTCATCAATATTCTCATGGGGGAAATGGATTCCGGGGTGGTTCGATGGTTGGGTGATACCAACGTGTGTGTTTCCAGGCCTGCAGCGAGTTCACCACCCACGTCATGAACCTGCTTCGGGAGCAGAGCAGGACGAGGCCCATTTCACCCAAGGAGATCGAGCGGATGGTCAACATCATCCACGGCAAGTTCAGCACCATCCAGATGCAGCTGAAGCAGAGCACCTGCGAGGCGGTGATGATCCTGCGCTCCCGCTTCCTCGACGCCAGGTAAAAACCCCAAATCTTGTCATTTAGGAGGTGAAATATTAAAAATTCACCCACTGTTCTGCTTTCTAGGGTAGGCTCAGGCATCAACCACTCTTTAATTCCACTCCAGTTGTGAATGTTTTCCTTCAGGTGTAGCTGAGAGGACAAAAAGCCGACGGTGCGCTC